AAAAAAAAAAAAAAAAAGAATCCAAGTCTCAGAAATGCTAAGGGATTTGCTCTAGGTGTCCCAGCTGGAATGTACTACAACCAGGGTTTCAACCCAGGTCCTGTTAGTTGTAGAGTCTGCATTCCCAAAATACTGTCTCCCCGAATGCTTACAGATCCAAAATCCTCAAGTGTAACCCGTGAGAATAAAGCCACAGCATTAGAACTATGAAAGGTCATTATGAAAACACGAGGACTGTTTAATCAAAGTACCTAGCGATCACATTTCAACCAGGATTTTACCTCTAATTCCAAGGCTTCTGAGAGTAATTTCCGGGCGTTTTTCCTAAGTGACTCTGTTTTGGGATCACTTCGGACTTCAATAGATGGCCTATCCACATGTTTCTCAATGAAAGTTTTCCATTCTGTGTAAACTTCTTTGGCAAGACAGGCCACTTCTGAATCTGGGTGTTTACGCATCTTGTTCACTGTGTGACCTGGAACAGGGGAGAGAAAACAAAGGAACAGTTGTTCTGTCTTCTGAAAAAGCACAGGACTAGATGGACTGATATGTGGCACTGAGAAAGTCATTCACACACCCAAGGATGTAAAGGCTCTTGTGCAGAAGAGAGCTGTTTCACAAAGCCTGAGATAACAGGATAATCACTGGGGACAACCATCGGGCTAGCCAGAGCAGTAAGTCATGCACTAGAAGTGTGAGCCACGGATCTTAAAAAGAACAACTAAAGCACCAATTCCTTAAACTCAAAAATTACAATAAAAGAAAACAAATTAAATATTTATCTTATTTTGATCAACGTTAGCATCTCTAAGAGTGGGGCTATGACACGGAGGTGGCACTTCATAGCTCCACCTATGAAGTAGTCTCCTCTCCTCCTCCAAAAGAGAAAATGAACCATAACCCGATTAGTCATGCAAAGGGAACTTCCAGTTTATAGGAAATATGAGAGAAAGAAGAATAAGTTAAATTACAGTGAGAGGAAACAGACAAATCCAGAATGTGGACATTATCCACGACAGCAGGTTTGGCTTCTTCAATAATGTCTTATTTTTTAAAGGGGGTAAGGTTAAGGACTGCTATAGACTAAAAGAGTCTTTTGAGTCTGAACTACCAAATGTGACATGTGACTGGGTGATTCAAATCCCGATCGGAACAAACCAACTGTTAAAAGATATTTTGAGATAAACAAGGAATATGAATATGCACGAGATACTAAATTATACCAGGGAATTATTGTAAATTTTGTTAAGCATGATAGCAATGGCACTGTGGTTACATAAGAAAATACCTGTATTTTTTAGAGAGGCATACACAGACGTCTGTAGAGCTGAAATGACAAAAGGTCTGAGATTCTACTTTAAAATACTTCAACCTCTTCCGACTTTGGTCTCTGTGCTTTTCCCAGAGTTTCCAAAGTGCCATGTTAGCACACAGCAGCCAGAGGTTCACAACCTGCCCTCAGTAGGAGCCACTGTGAGGAGGGCCCCAGGGAGAATTTGCCATTTTCGGTGGGAAATAAGTGGCAGTTACTAATTACGATGACTTTGCACTTGGATCTGGCTTTGCTGCATCCTTCTTTATAGTTAAGACACCAACTACTTAAGAAGTGAAATGTGGGCAGCGCCTGTGGCTCAGTGAGTAGGGCACCGGCCCCATATACAGAGGGTTCAAACGCAGCCCCGGCCAAACTTCAACAACAAAAAATAGCTGGGCGTTGTGGCAGGCGCCTGTAGACCCTACTGGCCTAAGCCCAGGAGCTGGAGGTTGCTCTGAGCTGTGTGACACCATGGTGCTCTATGGAGGGCAACAAAGTGA